GGGTCAGGCGCACCTTAGTCCTCAAGCTGACATCTTTGCTCTTCAACACTTTAAAAAGGTCTTGTGCAGCAGATTTGCCTAATGCAATATGTTGTTTAATTTCTTGACTGTCGCTTCCATGAGTGTTGATAGTTGATCCAAGACATTATTGGCTGATAAATAGGCATATATTTAGTGTACTGCATGCTCTTGGATTAGTTTTAAAAGTGAAGAGTTAACACTCCCACCAACAGTATGTTTGACTGTCACTTCCCATCATCCCCACTGATACTTGCTGCCATCAGATTTTTAAACATTTACTAGCCTAATGGATAATCAAATCTCATTCTTGGTTTAATTTGCATTTTCTTATGACTAAGGAAAATTGGTGTATTTTCATATTAGGCATTTTATGTTTATTTAAAATGTCTTCTACAGGGCTATACATTTGTTTACAATAAGAAATTTCACTCACCGTTTTTCTACATCTGCAATGCTATCAGGCAACGGACAGTTTCGGGTTTCTGGTAGGAAGTAGACAGATATGGAGGCCAATATTGGTATTGCTCCATAAAAAATCATGGGCAAGGGTGCAAAGTAGTATTTGGTGATCAGCACGAAAGTGCCCGCTGTTGCTCCTAACCTACTAACAAGTGTAATCAGTCCTTGAAGAGTAGACCTACAAAAAGAGAAAACAGTAGTTTTATAATGAAGTCAGAGCTATATTTTTAGTTGTTGTGGTGTTATTGTTGTTGTTAGACGCCATTGAGTGATCCTAATCACAACAGAACGAAACACTGCTCTGTCGTGGGCCAACCTCACAATCGTTGCTACACCTGAGCTCATCACTCCTGCCACTGTAGCAATCCATACCACTGGGGGGTCTTCCTCTTTCTCTCTGACCATCCACTTTACCAAACATGTTATCTCCTGATAATGTGTCTGAAGTATGAGAGGCAAAGTTTGGCCATCCTCCCCTCCAAGGATTACTCTGGCTGCACTTCTTCCAACACAGATCTATTGGTTCTTTTGGCAGTCCATGGTACTTTCAGTATTCTCCTTCAACACCATAACTCAAATACATCAATTCTTCTACAGTCTTCGTTCTGGTCTTTCATATTCTCTGTCCAACTTTCACATGCATATGTGGTTAGGTGAGGTGCTGTCAAGCAGTTAGATGTTATCAAGTCAGTTCTAACTTATAGCAACCCTATTAAGCACGACAGAATGAAACACTGCTCAGTCCTGCACGAGCCTCACAGTTGTGCTGTTTAAACCCATTGTTGCTGCACCATGTGAATCCATCTTGTTAGGGTCTTCCTCTTTTTGACCGACCCATCCTTCCAGCAAGATTATGGCATTCCATGAGCATTTATTGTGTGAATAACACACTAAATACAAAATGATAAAAACAGAGACAAATTGTTGTGTCTTGAAAGGCCACTTTCAGGGTTTTACATTTCTAAGAAGGAATTATGTAACAAACTAGGTCAGAAAAGAAGTACTGAGCACATGATTAGGCCAATTAACTGAGATGCTTCATGAAACCATGAGCCGAAACCTTCAAACTAAGGAACCCGATCCTATGAGATGAAAGAATGCCTATTAGGAGCCTCAGTAACTACTCATTTGTTGTGTGTCATTGTTATAAATATATCTGTAACAAAACATTGGCTAATTTAACATTTTACATGTATACAACTTCTTTACAATAATCAACTGTGTAACCCTACTAGTGATAGAATTATTAATTACTGTTGTCTCTCTTGATCCCCCTCCCTCCTGTCCATAATTTCATTGTTGTTAAGTCGGTTCTGACTCATAGTGACCCAGTATAGGGTTTCTTAGGAGCAACTGGTGGGTTTGAACTGCTGACCTTGCAGATCACAGTCCATTGCTAATCCTAAGTACCACATAAGGAGTCCCCTGTCCATAATAACAACCATTAAAAATCTTTGGTATCCATACATTTGACTTTTCTTGTCTTTTTACATGTGAGGTGATTTGGGGTAAAGGGGAAGAAGGAGTCTCAGAATAGAAGCAGGATATGGAAAGTGTGGCTAATTGCCTCCATTAATAACTGTCAGCTTTGCCATGAGATCAAGAGAACTGAATGGTGTACAGATACCATTACTAAGCATTTTGTTCAAGGATTCTATAAAGCAATCGTTAAGTCTTCTTAAAACCAAACAATAGCATAACTAGTATTAAGTTGTATTGTGAGCTATCTTATGGATCAAATTGACAACAGCACTTCAAAGGATTAGCTAGAAAAGATAAGAGGCTGTGAGTTCAGAACTGAAGGTGACAAAGGTTGTATCATTCAAAGAACACAATCAATATCACTGAATTGTACATGTGTTAACTGTTGAACTCATATATGCTTTGCTAGGTATATTCTTAACTAAACTAAAATTTTAAAAAGTAAAATGTAGGAATAATGTATATATACATTAATTGGCCCCCTTTGCCCATGGCTAGGTTGAAACATATCAATTTGTTTCTTTGATTTAAATATTAAATCCCAGTGTGTTCCAAAATGAAAAACAGAACCTACTGCTGTCATGCTGATTCTGACCCATAACTACTCCATAGGAACTGCTCCATACGTTTTCTGAGGTTAAATTTTTATAAAAGCAGACTGCCTCATCTTTCTCTGCAGCTAGTGGGTTTGAATCAATGACCTTTCAGCTAACAGCCCAAAACTTCATTCACTGTGCCACCAGAACTCTTTCTAAATGTGTTAGTTATCATGGTCTAGATATATCTAAAGGATCAATTATCATCTATATGGGTAACCATAAAAGGCAACATTTGCATGCTACATTCTAAACAAAAGATCACTATTACAGTTTTTTAACATGCCAGTTCTTTTCCCACATCACAGATTTTCTGCATTTTTTTGTGCTGTTACACTTCCACGAGAATGAGAATACTGCCCTCATGTATACCTTGTTGTTGTTGTTGTTAAGTGCTATTGAGTCAATTCTGACCCATAGTGATCCTGTATAGGGTTTCCAACTTGGCTTTATTCTTCAATTCATAGTTTAAATGTTGTTGTTTTGTGCTGAGGAGTTGGTTCCAACTCATAGCAACCCTGAACAGGGTTTCCAAGGCTGTAAATTTTTTACGGGAGCAGAAAGCCTCATCTTTCTCCCACGGAACAGCTTGTAGTTTCTAACTGCTGACCCTGAGTTTAGCAGTCTGAACTCTACCAACACATAGTTATCTTCCTAATTAAGATATCTTCCTTAATTAGTTATCTCTAATTAAGAAGAATTAGAGATTGTGGTCTATGAAGAAGATAGGACTATGGGAATAGAGTATTTTATGTGGAAGAGTGGGACTTAAGCAATCTTTTAAACTAAGGTACTGCTTCAGAAGATAATATAGGTAGATTATTGTTGGTGCAGTGGAGTAAAGAATGAAAATCTAGAGATTCAGTAAACAAATCAGTTTTAGACAGATAAGAGATATGATATGAAATTAAAAAGAAATGGAGATCTTTTAACTAACTGAAATCCTTTTCAGAAAAGGTTCTATTTAATTTTACTGAAATTACCTGGAAATTCCAAGTAGCTACCAGCTTACTTTCTTAGCAGGGACCGTAGTCTCCTTTCTTACCTCATGCCAGTAGGTAAAAGTTCATTGTTGTAGATTATACCCATGTTGAAGTAGATTGCCATGAAACCCTTTCCTATCATAGCAATAGCAAGACGCCAGTTTGGCCAATCTGTGAATAAGAAGTAAAAGAAGAATAATTAGTGTCCTTGGAATAATGTGGCTGAGTCTCTGATTTACAGGATGAAAACTCAGAATTTAATCTACTTCAGATGAAGGAGCAAAAGCTTTCAATATTTATGAATATTTTAAAGATTATTTTTATTCCAATTGTATAAATGGTCATATTTTAAGAATACAATGTACATGGTTTATATAGAAAATTAACAAATAAGTTGCAAATTTAGCAAACAAATGTATACTGTGTCCCTTATTTGAATAACATATGATATTATAAAGAAAATTATTGGTTAAGTGCATGCTATGAGATAGATACATGATCAAATGAAAAACAAACAAACAAAAAATACACAAAACAATACATCAACTATAAAACAATTGCCATGGAGCAAATTGCTTTTCACAATCAAACTGTGCTGCATAGGGGTCCGTAGCTATGACTTTTCAGAAATAAATAACAGGGCTTTCTTCTGAGATAACTCTGGCTATGTTCAAACCACTAAACTTTAAGTTATTAGTCCAACGCTTAATCTTCTGAGGCATCCAGGGACCCCATGTACTTTCAACCACAGTTCAAGCCCTAGAAAGTTCAACACCGACAATAGTAGTAGCAGTGTTACTGTGCTTACAAAATTTAACTGTCTAAAACTGGCCATAGCTGTTTCTGTAACCCATTTACTATCACCCTTTTCTCTTGCATTTTCTCTTTACTGGCCCTGGCTGGAACTTCCAATCATGTTTACAACTCCTACCTGGACAATCTCAGTTCCACCTTGTTTTTCATAAATGTTAAATGGTAAACAGTATCCACAAAGGAAAGGCAGAGTTGGTGCACAGCCAGATCTGTCTACCCCCTAAGGACTCCTCTTTTAATCCTATATCAAAGTGTATATCATATACCACATGATTTAAAGAACAACAGATAAAATCTTTCATATGCTTTATTCATTTTAATAAAAACTCAAATTCAAAGACACTCTCCAGTAATCCAAAATGTCTCTAAGAATGAATTAACAAAGTGATCAAGTATATTCTAATGACTTCCAGTATATTCATCCACAGTATTCTTATTTATTTCAGTCAATTTTTGAACCTTTTTAGCTCTCTTCAAACCTCCTGTATAAAACCTACCTAATTAATGTTGTTCCTCAAGGAAAGATAAGAAATCAAGAGGGTACTGATTTAATGCCTACCTTTGTATAATTTGACATATTAACAAATCATTTATTCTATTTTTGTTGTTGAGAATATATATAGTAGACACATACACATTGAACAGTTCAGAGACATTTTTCAAGTTGTGAAACAATTCCCAGCTCTTTTTCAAGCCATTCCATCTCCATTAATATATACTCATTGTCCTCTATGTTTCCTATCTCATCTTTCAAGTTATTGTCAAACTGATCTCACATATGTTGTTGTTGTTGTTGTCAGGTGCCATTGAGTCAGAACCGACTCATAGCAACCCCACGCACAGCAGAACAAAACAATGTACGATCCTGGGCCAACCTCACTACCGCTGCCACGCTTGACGCCATCAATGATGCCACCTGTCCAGTCCATCTCGTTAGGTAGGGGTCTTCCTCTTTTTCTCTGACCCTCCACCTTACACAGCATGACATCCTTCTCCAGAGACTGTTTTCTCTGGACAGTATGTCCAAATTATGAGAGATGAAGCTTAGCCATCCAGACCTCCAAGGAGCATTTTGGCTGTACTTCTTCCAAAACAGATCTATTGGTTCTTCTGGCAGTCCATGGCACTTTCAGTATTCTCCTCCAACACCACAACTCAAAGGCATCAATTCTTCTACGATCTTCCTTATTCA